TTGAATAAGAGTTTTTCAATGAAAGACCTTGGTGAAGATGCTTATATATTGGGCATCAAGATCTATAGAGATAGATCAAGACGCTTAATTGGACTTCCACAAAGCACATACCTTGATAAAGTTTTGAAGAAGTTCAAAATGGATCAAGCAAAGAAAGGGTTCTTGCCTGTGTTACAAGGTGTGAAGTTGAGTCAGACTCAATGCCCGACCACTGCAGAAGATAGAGAGAAAATGAAAGGTGTTCCCTATGCTTCAGCCATAGGCTCTATCATGTATGCAATGCTATGTACCAGACCTGATGTGTGCCTTGCTATTAGTTTAGCAGGGAGGTACCAAAGTAATCCAGGAGTGGATCACTTAACAGCGGTCAAGAACATCCTGAAATACCAGAAAAGGACTAAGGATATGTTTCTCGTTTATGGAGGTGACAAAGAGCTCGTCGTAAATGGTTACGTTGATGCAAGCTTTGATACTGATCCGAATGACTCTAAGTCACAAACCGGATACGTATTTATATTGAATGGTGGAGCTGTCAGTTAGTGCAGTTCTAAGCAAAGTGTCGTGGCGGGATCTACGTGTGAAGCGGAGTACATAGCTGCTTCGGAAACAGCAAATGAAGGAGTCTGAATGAAGGAGTTCATATCTGATCTAGGTGTCATACCTAGTGCATCGAGTCCAATGAAAATCTTTTGTGACAATACTGGTGCAATTGCCTTGGCAAAGGAATCCAGATTTCACAAGAGAACCAAGCACATCAAGAGATGTTTTAATTCCATCCGCGATCAATTCAAGGAGGGAGACATAGAGATTTGCAAGATACATACGGATCTGAATGTTGCAGACCCGTTGACTAAGCCTCTCTCGCGAGCAAAACATGATTAGCACCAAGACTCCATGGGTGTAAGAATCATTACTGTGTAATCTAGATTATTGACTCTAGTGCAAGTGGGAGACTGAAGGAAATATGCCCTAGAGGCAATAATAAAGTTGTTATTTATATTTCCTTATATCATGATAAATGTTTATTATTCATGCTAGAATTGTATTAACTGGAAACTTAGTACATGTGTGAATACATAGACAAATAGAGTGTCACTAGTATGCCTCTACTTGACTAGCTCGTTGAATGAAAGATGGTTAAGTTTCCTAGCCATTGACAGGAGTTGTCATTTGATTAACGAGATCACATCATTAGAGAATGATGTGATTGACTTGACCCATTCCGTTAGCTTAGCATTTGATCGTTTAGTATATTGCTATTGCTTTCTTCATGACTTATACATGTTCCTATGACTATGAGATTATGCAACTCCCGAATACCGGAGGTACACTTTGTGTGCTACCAAACATCACAACGTAACTGGGTGATTATAAAGGTGTTCTACAGGTGTCTCCGATGGTACTTGTTGAGTTGGCATAGATCAAGATTAGGATTTGTCACTCCAATTATCGGAGAGGTATCTCTGGGCCCTCTCGATAATGCACATCAATATAAGCCTTGCAAGCAATGTGACTAATGAGTTTGCAGGATGATGTATTACGGGATGAGTAAAGAGACTTGCCGGTAACGAGATTGAACTAGGTATTGAGATACCGACGATCGAATCTCGGGCAAGTAACATACCGATGACAAAGGGAACAACGTATGTTGTTATGCGGTTTGACCGATAAAGATCTTCGTAGTATATGTGGGAGCCAATATGAGCATCCAGGTTCCGCTATTGGTTACTGACCGGAGACGTGTCTCGGTCATGTCTACATAGTTCTCGAACCCGTAGGGTCCGCACGCTTAAAGTTCGATGACGGTTATATTATGAGTTTATGTGTTTTGATGTACCAAAGATAGTTCGGAGTCCCGGATGTGATCACAGACATGACGAGGAGTCTCGAAATGGTCGATACATAAAGATTGATATATTAGAAGCCTATATTTGGATATCGGAAGTGTTCCTGGTGAAATCGGGATTTTACCGGAGTACCGAGGGTTACCGGACCCCCCCGGGGGTTTAATGGGCCAACATGGGCCTTAGTGGAGAAGAGGAGGGGCGGCCAGGGCAGGCCGCGCGCCCCCTCCCCCTCTAGTCCGAATTGGACAAGGAGGGGGGGGCCTTTCCTTCCTCTCTCCCTCCTCCTTCCCCCTTCTCCTATTCCAACTAGGAAAGGAGGGAGTCCTACTCCCGGTGGGAGTAGGACTCCTCCTGGCGCGCCTCCTCCTGGCCGGCCGCCTCTCCCCCCTCTGCTCCTTTATATACGGGGGCAGGGGGCACCTCTAGACACAACAATTGATCTCTTGATCTCTTAGCCGTGTGCGGTGCCCCCCCACCATAATCCACCTTAATAATATCGTAGTTATGCTTAGGCGAAGCCCTGCGTCGGTAGAACATCATCATCGTCACCACGCCGTCGTGCTGACGGAACTCTTCCTCAAAGCTCGGCTAGATCAGAGTTCGAGGGACGTCATCGAGCTGAACGTGTGCTGAACTCGGAGGTGCCGTACGTTCGATACTTGATCGGTCGGATCGTGAAGACGTACAACTACATCATCCGCGTTGTGCTAACGCTTCCGCTTTCAGTCTACGAGGGTACGTGGACAACACTCTCCCCTCTCGTTGCTATGCATCACCATGATCTTGTCTGTGCGTAGGATTTTTTTTTGAAATTACTACGTTCCCCAACACCAAGTGTGGTGGTTTTGGGTAAATAATTCACCGTTCGGCCATGCGAGAGAATCGATGGACCTCTAGTGGCTGGAATAGGAAGAAAAGAAGTTTGGGTCGATCAATTCAGGTAAGCCTGCCTACGCTAGGCTAAGGACGGCTTGACGAAAGAAGCAATGAATTAGGGAACACTATTCTTTTAGATAATATATAGGGAAACATTTTACGTCGGCGCGCCGGACGAATGCTGGGCCGGTCGCACGGCACTTGCGAGGCTCCTCCTCCTCACATGTTCACATATTCCTGGTCCCACACGTCGCTTTCCCACTCTTAATTCCCTTAACTCTTCACGTACATCGCCCCCGTCCACTCGTTTCCTTCCTGCTCTCATGCAATCTCCTTTCTTTCTCTCTCCTTTTTCTCCTCCATCCATGCATCACACGCCATGGTTACTGTCGACGGGAGCAGCAACCGGCGCCCAAGAGAGCGGCGATCATGGACGGCGAGCGCAGTGACCATAGGCTGTGAGGACGCCAGCGCTGCTCCAAGCAACTCACGGCGTCGCTGTTTTTGCTACATGCTACAACCGGCATCACAAATTGCTACAGCCGACATGAAAAAAGCTTCAAGCCTAGATCGAACAAGCTTCAAGCATCAACATGGGAAGCTTCAACCAGCCAATGTCAAACTGAAAAAGCTGCAACCATTACGAAAAAAGCTTCAACCCTAGATGAAAAAAGCTTCAACCGAAAGAAATACAAAGTTTCAACCGCGCACTGCAAGACAGAAAGTTGCATCCATTTACAAAAAAGCTTCGACCGTAGATGAAAAAAGCTTCAATCGACACAGTGGAGCTGTGACGTTGAGAGCTGCGGCCGGCGACACGACGATGCAACGACGGATGTGCTACCATGGCGGCTGATACGTGCTGCAACGACAGAGGCGTCGGCGTGCTCCAAGATGGTAGCGTTTTCCTACGAGGGCACCCGCTTCCTGCTGGACTGAGGAGGACGTCGGTGAGTTGCATCTGGGAGGAGCGTCCGATGCTGGAACCGGCATGGCGGCAAGCTGGAACTAGCACGTCAGAAAGCTGCAACCGAAGGTAGCAGATGCTACAATCAACACATGGCGAGCTGGAAACGGAGCAACCGATGTTGCAACCGTCATGGCGACGAGTTGGAACCAAGGCGCCCGGTGCTGCAACCAGAGGCGACGGGGGCAAGCTACTGATTTGGCGGCTCGGCAAGAGGCGAGCGGTGGTGCAAGCGATGCCAGTTTTCAGCGAGGAAGGGTGTCGCTGGCCATGAGCGCGCTGGGCAGCAATTTCTTTTGCGATGGGAAACAACCATACTAGTGCTGGACTAGGCGGGGGAGATTGGGGAACACGTGTTTGACTTTTCTTTACAGTGGACCACCTATCCAATGGCTGTTACGCTGTTAATCAAGCGGCTGCGGTGCGACCGGCCGAAATGTCGACCGACACACCGGCGCCTATTAGTGGCCTAATATATATAGACAGATGATAAGAAAGAAGAGAAGAGAAGAAAGATAGGTAGAAGGCGGCTAAAATCAGTCATTTTTTTTGAATGTGATAAATAACTCTTTTTGGCGAATATAATATAATTAAAATTGTTTGTATCATCTCATATCGTTTGGCAGCACAAAGCACATTCACCTACATGATTGCATTGCACACGAACGTGGGGTAATGCTACACCTATGTAAGGCCACTTACGTGTATTACGTAATGTGCCAGGTGGTCCAATAAAATTTGAGGTAGTTAATTACTACATTTTTTTGGTTTATAGGGTTCAATTCAAAAATCTCACAAACCAAGATAGACGATAAGTGGTGAAATAATTTTTGTAGTTTGCAAAATCACTCAATTAATGCGCTTGTTTTCTTCAAAAAATTGTGTTTATCAATGCATTAATTGCAATGCATGCATGCATAAAGTACAGTACATGTATTGGTAAATTTTCTTTTATTACTTGCATGCAATGATTTATTGCACCTTAAAATCTTAACGTATGATAAGGAACAACTAAATTGAGAATTATAAAATGAAAAATAATTAAGATAATCCCCGTAAACTGGAAAGGAGGGAGTAGTTAGGAAAGTTACGTTGTAGGATTATCGGACGGACGACGTAAAAAAAAAAGCATTATCGGACGAACACGACACGAATTTGAGACCTTCGCTACGAGCAGGGCAGCGGTGGCTCGACCAGTTCGGCTACAGAGACCCGGACACAGAGCCCGTGCGCTGGAACGCTCGTCGAAAAAAGAAAAACTCGCGGCAGCACCCATCTCTATTCCCGAACTCGCCGTCGACGAGTGGCCTATGGCGGACGGCGGCGAGATGGACGAGGAGGCGATGATGCGCGCCTTCTTCCCGACCTCATTCGGCAAGGCGCCCACCCGCCCCAGCGCCGCCTCCCACTCCTCCACCCTCCGCAAGCCCCAAAACCCTAGCTCCAACCCCTCCACCTCTGCCGCCGCCGAGGAGGACGATGGCGGTGGTGCCATTGTCGGACCCCCTAGGCCGCCCAAGGAATTGGCTCCTATCCAGGAGGATGACGAGGAGGGTGGCGGTCTGATTGGGCCGCCTCGGCCGCCACAGCGGCCGTCTGCGCACGCGGCGGTGGAGGACGAGGACGGCAGCATGGTTGGGCCGCCTCGGCCGCCACCGTCGAAGGAGGGGGATGAGGATGACGAGGACGAGGGCGACGACGACGACGAGGATGACGACGACGATGATATGGATGATGATGATGGGGAGGATTTCGGCAGGATTCCTCTCAGCAACGAAATTGTTCTGCGGGGGCACACCAAGGTAACTGTACGCCCATAATTATTTCCTTCTCTACAGCTGAGTTGTTTTACTATTGGAATTGTTAAGGTTGATGTGGTTTGACAACTAGTTTTGCTCAATTACTTTAGAATTTCTGGATAGTTGTGGGAGCTGTCAGGTTTCTTAGTTCTTTCACAAATACGATTTAGCCGAATTAAACTGATCTTGGAAGATAAGCTGTGGAAGCTCGCCTTCTGTTTGTTCTGCATGGTGTTATTCTAAGAATTTTTCTCTACCAGTGTTACATACCGCATAAGTTTTCTGTAGAGAATACCGTGCCAACTCTAGCCATGTTCAAACAGAATGAGTTGTTGGGATTGCATCACCCAATCCTAGTACTACTCTCGCCCAAATGGGTTTCATATCCAAAGGACTGGCTAGTTTTTACGTTGGCTCGCCAAGCCTATCACAACCCTTATATATGAAACCCTTTCACGAGGACTTCCCAGGAGGTCACCCATCCTAGTACTACTCTCGCTCAAATGGGTTTCATACCCATGGGACTGGCTAGTTTTTACGTTGGCTCGCCAAGCCTATCACAACCCTCCTCCTTTACTCGGGCTTGGGACCGGTTATGCCTAAAAGACATAGGCGGAGTTTTTTATTATAAGAAAATTTTCAGGATGATGATGCTGGCCTTACAATTAAAAGTCTACGACTCAAAAAGAAATAAAAAGGCAGCAAACATACCTAGGCAGCCAAAGAAAAAGAACAGCAGAAAGGAAAAAAGCTTACACCTAGCTAGCCAACCTTAGAATCAACAAATTTAGTCGAATATCAACTAGCGTGCTTTTGGGGTGATCTTCAAAGGTGCCTCCTGTGATGCTATGAAGACTCGTGCGGGTTAAATTGCTAGTTTCAAGTAAATCTATTTCGCTGGTTAATAATCATTTATTTCATTCGCAGGTTGTCTCAGCCCTTGCTGTTGACCCTACAGGATCCCGAGTGCTCTCTGGCAGCTATGATTATACCATACGGATGTATGACTTCCAAGGCATGAATTCGAAGCTACAGTCATTTAGGCAATTAGAACCTTGTGAGGGGCATCAAGTTCGTAGCCTAAGCTGGAGTCCAACATCGGACCGATTCTTATGTGTCACGGGTTCAGCTCAGGCCAAGGTATTCTGGTTTGCTATCTTCCTTGAATCACCAAAAACTGTGACCCCTAGAAATCAATACCATGTTAATTACATTATGCTTCCTATCAGATATATGACCGAGACGGGCTTTCGCTTGGTGAGTTTGTTAAGGGTGATATGTATATCCGTGATCTGAAGAATACAAAGGGTCATATTTCTGGACTAACTGGTGGTGAATGGAATCCCAAGTCAAAAGAAACTATATTGACCTCATCGGAAGATGGATCATTACGTCTCTGGGATGTTTCAGACTTTAGCAGTCAAAAGCAGGTACGTTGAACTAATCGTTCTATTCGCTAGATAGCAGTGCATCATTTTGAGGAGAAGGTCCTAGTAATATAATAACCCTGAAATGCTCTGATATTTGTTCATTTTTGCACCAACATTTGCTTAAAGTTGAACCACTTGTTATGTAGTATGATTGAAGCTCCTACCATTTTCTATTGTGGAATACTGAATTTTTGTCATTACATTTTCAATAGGTCATCAAACCAAAGTTAAAAAGACCAATGCGAATTCCTGTTACTTCATGTGCATGGGATCATGAAGGCAAGCGGATTGTTGCTGGCGTGGGGGATGGTTCCATTCAGGTACTTTATATATTGCACAATCTCTAAACTGTCCTATCACTTTGAGTTTAACCAGATGGTTTGGTTAATACATTGTATGACCTCATATGTCTTTTGTAGCTCTGGACCATAAAGACTGGATGGGGAAGCAGACCAGATATTCATGTTGAAAAAGCACATACAGAAGATATCACTGGGGTTAAGTTTTCTACTGATGGGCAGATTCTTCTGTCAAGAAGTATGGATAGTACTCTAAAGGTAATGTATCTGGTCTGTTAACACGATCCATGTCTGCATGTTTAAATTCATTATCTGCAATCAGCCTATGCCGCCATACTCTTACACACTTGAAAGTTGTTCAGTATTTAGGTTAAGCATCAGTCCAGTAAGCCTTGAGATGTCACCTACGTACATTTCTCAAAAATACTTCTGCTTAGGGCATGCTTGTTATAGATGCAACTTCCACAGCTGCAGCTGCAACAGCTCCGGCTGGAAGGAGCAGCTGTAGCTGCTAGCTGCTAGCTGCGGCTGAAAGATTGGAGCCAAGATACAGGCATTTGGTAGATGCGCTGTAGCAGCTGCAGCTGGTGCAGAAGCGTGCTAAAATGACCATAATGTCCTCCGTTGTTCTGTAGATTGGGAATAGGTGCTGATTGTACTGTTATAATCGAAATGACTTGATTAAGAGCTCTTTTTGTCGCAGATTGTCGGTTTTCATGGTTTTTAACTGAAATTACAATTGTTTGATGTAATAGACAGTGTATTTAAATGATTTTGGCATATTGGCTATATGATACTCCTTCTGTTTTTATTTACTCTGCATATTAGTTTTGTCTCAAGTCAAACTTTGGC